AAATAAATAAATAAATAAATAAATAAATAAGTAAGTAAGTAAGTAAATAAATAAATAAATAAATAAATAACAGAGTGGTCAACGGCTGGGATGCTCTACCTGACTCTGTTGTTACATCCTCAAACCCCCACAGCTGCAACCTGCAACTGTCTACCGTGGATCTCACTGCATTCCTAAGAGGTCCGTAAAGGGGGCGTGCATAAGGGCCCCAGCATGCCTACCGCCCCTGTCCTACTGTCCCCATTTATTTGTATTCATTTCCTTCATTCATGTCCATGTTCATACTTATATCTGCTATCTTGTACATGTTTGACAAACTAAATAAATAAAATAAAAATATGTCATGTCAGAAGAAATCATAAGCGATGAAAATACTAGCAATGAAGAAACACAGAATTAGGTAGACATAAAACATTTTTCCGGGTTTCATTTTTTTATATATAAATAAAATTGTACTGCAAAAAAAACCAGCATGTCCTCCAGATAAACTGAAGGGGGAAGAAACAGAAGAAGAAAGAAGAATTACCCTTCGGACATCTTTCCCAAATGTTTCACTGTAGCTCGTTCCAAGGATCTCAAACTGGACATAGGGGTTGGCACCATCTTCTTGGAATTCCATAATGCCCGTCAATCCACTGATATGACCCTAAAGAAAAAGTTTCATCTAGTTGAGAAAAAAAAAATGATGTTTTTCCCTCCCCAGGATCTTCTTTCAAACCATATGTTTTAAATGTTTCGTGTTATGTGTCCAAGAGCTTCCTTGGGATCATAAATTAAATGACTTGCTTGGCCTATTATCTCTTGGAAAGGCAGATCCACTTGATTACCTTCTTGATCGTCTCCAACATGGATCGGCCTCCGTTCCAAGGTTTGGTTGATTTTCTCATGCAATTCAAGCTGGCCATGCTGTGCCATTTCCGGTCTTCCAACTTTCGGTGGAAAGCGTTGGCCAGCATGAGGACACTGTCGTAGAGATAGAGGTTGGAGACCTGTACATGGAGACAAAGCCAAACCCAAACCGTTGGTACTCAACTGTTGAAGGGCATGCTGAAAGGGTGTAGCACGATGGAGAAGGTATATATAAAGTGAATGCATTGCAAAAATAAGTCTGCTTTCTAAGTAATTATTTATTGATTTCTTCTTTTATCAGAGGAACCTGTAATGCACTCATCGGGGACAGGATCAGCAATACAAAGCTTGAAACCTAATTTTCTTTCCCAGTTTCAATTGACCTTCTGTGCAGATAGTTCTAGTCCTCTTCTTTAAACAAGTTCTGTTTCTCTTTAAAAACTATGTTCAATGTGTGCTTAAAACAGAATTAATTGTCATCTAGGAGAATGCTAAACCCAAGTATAAAGGAAGTCCATGCAATGACTGACCTTACATTACTAGCCTAATAGTTTCCTAAACTAGCAATGGAGGGCAGTGATCAGTGATCCATGGCAAATGGGAACAATCAGATCTGGGTATAAGGAGACCTTGTAAAACATTTCTGTAGCAGGATTTGGGTCTGAGAAAAGGAAGAATATTATTAGAAAACCAAAACAGCTAAGGCTAATCTTAACCCATCTCTCTGGTGGTGTAAAAGAAGAGTAGGCAGAGCTGGAGGTGGAGTGAAGTATACCATCAGCTTGGAGTCATTAAGTTTCTATGAATGATCCAACTTCAATTCCCTTGAATTCCAATGATGCTTATTTGGCCCCAATTTAGTGCTGAACTAAATCTAGGGATGACTAGATTTTTGAGCACAATGGGCAATAGATCTTTTAAACTGCAATGTAATGTATGGTCCTGATTCTTTGCAATTGACAGGTGGGGTGAAATGGGATATGGAGAAGATGAGATGAATGTTAAGAAGACATGTCTTCTAAAAGCCATTCACATAGCATCTTCTTGCTATAATTAACAGGCCATGAGATTGAACCCAGGGGACAGATCACTGCATTGGTTGCTAATATTTTGGATGGTCACTAGTATATAAAAATATGTCAGAATTTGTTGCATAAATTCAAATCCAGAACACACACAGATAACTGATGTAGCAGGATTCACTAACTTCTTTATATACATAAGAATATATGAATAAATGTACAATACCAACAGGTGGTTCTTCCAAGTAAACACAAGGCAAGTGAGTT